TTTGTAATTTGTGAATTGATCCAAAAAGTGCAACAGACACAGCAAGCAAATTTCATAGTCAGTAATCAACGTGTTCATATTGTAGTTGGCTAAAGGTGAGACTTAGCACCATGCTGCCAGCAAATCTTTCACTCCTCCGTCGGCTTCTGCGCCAACAGCGTCTTAATGTCCTCCTCGAACGACAGCGGACGGTCCTTCGGAGCAAAACGCTTGTACGGCTGGCCGTTGCGGTCCACCAGGAACTTCGTGAAGTTCCACTTCACAAAGTCACCGAACGAACCAGGCAGCTTCGTCTTCAAGTACGTGAACACCGGACGCGCCGTCGCACCGTTTACATCGTGCTTCTCGAAGAACGGGAACGCCACGTTGTATTGCTTCACGAACTCCATGATCTCCTCGTGGGTGCCAGGCTCCTGGCCAGCGAACTGGTTGCACGGGAACGCCAGCACCTCCAGCCCTTCGTCCTTGTACTTCTCGTACAGCGTCTGCAGTTCCGGGTAGTTGGTCGGCGTCAGGCCGCACTTACTGGACACGTTCACGGCCAGCACCACCTTGCCCTTGTATTTGCTCATAGACACCTCGTTGCCGGCCATATCGAAGTCTTTCAGCTCGTAGAACGACTTGATCTTGGCCGTGTCTTCCACGTTGAACACCTCGCGGTACTGCGCCCCGGCGTTAATGAACGAGTTGAGCCACTCCTCCTGCTTCTCCTTGCTCTCGGCGGAGAAGATCTCGGTGATTTTTGGGTTTGCCAGCTTAATACCGTGCGTCATGGACGCGTCAAACTCGACGGTGGCATCCGAAGAAACGTCCACAGTGGCCAGAGGTGTAGCCTTGTTGGTCTCCGACTCGAAGACTGTCACGTTCTTCTGCTTGTCGTTGGCCTTAACGTACACGAGCTGCTTGCCGCCCGTGAGCTTGGCGAACAGACCCGCGCGCTTGCGGTGCAGGTTGCCAGCCTGGATGACGCCCTCGGTCTTGTTCTCTGAGCTCATAGTCTGGTGGTTACTCGACTCTGTCGATGCGAATTCGTAAATGGGCGGTTATGAGGGGGGGAAGATAAGATCAAAGGCGAATTTTGAGTGGCACAAAAAATGTGACATGCTTTGACTTGGATAGATTACATGTATGCCGTTAGGTAGGACTGGAGAAACTGTGTGTAAACATGAGTGTGCACGTATGCAAAGAAACAACTTCAGCGCAATGCGAGGTGGTACACGAAGGCGTCACATGAGCCTTTCGTGCTTCGTTGGATGCGTGCTGCTATCGCAATTCGGCTTCCCACTAACAATTTTTTTTTTACTACAGTTTTACGAGTAGAAAATACAGCAAGCATTCACAATTATATATCAGAGGTTCCATATTCTTAAGAAGAGGATATGTTGTTCCTTTTTTTCTTGAAAAGATAATTCGTGGGAACTAGACTACTGTAACTGTAAAACAGTACAGTAAACGATACTCGTGATTTTGTTTTAACGCGTAAAACTTACCGTGAGTTCTTACTCCTGGGTCCCCCACGCGTAGTTTGCAAAGGACAACTGGTCGAATGCCCAGCCACCGAAGAAAGTCTTTGCTCCCGGTTCCTTCTCCTCCATCCCTGCCCCAGCAGCCACGACGAAAGGCAGAAAGTGGTCAGGAGACGAATGCGCGAATTTTGCCCCAGGTGCGTTGTGCCAGTTTGTAATTTGTTCACTCCGCTCCTCCATGGTGAGCTTCGAATCCGAGGCAAGGGTGCTGTCCAGCCAGTTTTGAAACGCTTTGGCTCCTTCAATCAGAGTGGGGTTACGTCTGTGAGTGCTGCGGAAATGGTGAGTCGACTGGCCGGAACACAAGATCAGGGTATCCTCATCACAGTACGATGCCAGTGCCTTGCCCAAATCGAAGTGAGCTTGGTTACTCAAGTTCGAGTTGATGGACATGGAGACGATGGGGATGTCTGCTTGCGGGCGGATCAGCTTCATCGGCACGAACACGCCGTGGTCGCACCCC